CGATACACTTAGAAAATAACTACTCGATTTTTCTGTAGGTATATCTAGAGATCCAATTTGTCACGGGCTGAACGTCAGTGCAGCGCACGGGGTTGTGAAACGCTTGTGTAGTACAAATTGCAGTTGTACAGGACTTGCTCTCGCAAACGCTGCCGCGAGCTGCAGGCGTGGTCAGTCTCGGTTGACGAAGAGGATAATAAGTTTCTAGAGTCAACTATCAGTGTGGTCGGAAAGTAATGGGATTGGAGACTGACTGCAGATTTCTTGCTAGAGAGAAATCATAAGAAGCCCTGATTCTGAAAGATGTTAGAACATATTATTTTCTTTCAGCTTGTGTCTATGTAAGGACATTTACATGTTTGATAATTATTAAACTTGCTGAAATGCGAAGTCAGTCACTTCGACAAATTATGAACTTTGAGCGATCTGTGTAGAACACGTGAGACCATCCAAAGTAACACTGCTGCAATAGGTGAACAGTCATCCAGTCTATAACAGGGTTTGGTATCCTTTATTCGACTGACGTTTCGGCGGTATCCTTCTTTAAAGTGTGAAATTATCGAATGCAAGTGAACTATTAGGTCATTCAGAAAGTTTTTTCGCTTTTTGTGCCTTTGATGTTGGTGCCATGTTTTAAGAGAGTGCCAAAGGGCCGACCGATAGGGGTTGCCATATACCAAATTGTAGAGAAAGTCTTCTAGTTTCTGAGGATCTCACCGAAGTTGCAGAAAATGCTTTGTAGAGAAGTTTACATGGCTATAAATTCAACATATGAAAACGCGATTTTCAAATAATTGCACTCTTTAAGCTCAGTCTTGAGTGTAAGGTAGTCCAAAAAGCCATCATTGTGCGCAATGCATTTGCTAAGGCCAAGTCTTTCTTGAATTTGGTTGAAGTCTGCTTCAAAAAGTCCAGATCTAGAAAAGTGAAAGCTAATATTTTGCACTGTTCTGGAAGGTGTTCCTGCCATACCAACTAGGATCTCATAGGGTCCTTTAAGACAAATCGCAAATATAGCTGCATAAAACTTGAGCAGGCCTTGTAGTATCATCTAGCCCCGTTCGAAGCCACCATCGCTAAAGCTGCAATATCAAAAAATATTAGTGGCATACACCTCACTAATTCTCGCACTCGCAGATTGAGGGCACGCTAACTCTGCTTTCGTTTAGCATAATTTGACGGAGCATTTCTTTTTTGGCCTGGATTGATAATTACAACAAAAAGTTGGCCAAGTACAGCTAAAAGAAGAAACAATAAGGTAAATCATTTGGAACAAGCACTGCAAGCATGGCCATGAACAGCAAGTCATTACAAAAGATTGATTTACTCAAATTAATGTAATCCTGCTAGTTTTGCACGCTATAAATTTGCCAAGATGTGATTGTGGTGTAAGAGCAGAGTAATATGATATCGCTCTAAAGACCGTTTGTCAACGTTTTTAAACTGAGCAGACTTGCACGTATAATCTATGAAAGGTGTCATCCTCGCCCATGACGCCGTCAAACCACATGTAAGGAAAGTGGCCCTCACAAAAAAGGTTGACTGCGCACCGAGGTTCCTGATCATTTTTCAAACTCTATGGACCTTCTTTTATTAGCCACAAAATTCTCCAATTCCTCGGTGCCTATTAAAAAATAATGTGTTCCAGTAAAAATTAGCTTGTCAAAAATGCCTTTTTAGGTCTTATTGATTCCCCTAAGATGATTTCGCAAGGGAAAAGCATAAGAACGCTACATTAATGTTACCAGATCTGCTGAAGACAATGAACTTTATTTGAAAGAAAAAGGTTGGATCTAGGAAAAGTTGTGCTCATTTGAATTTAAAGGTGCGAAAACGAAAAAACTTTCCGAATGACTAACATTTTATCAAAAACCGCCTCAAGACTTAAGAAGACGTCCATGCGTCTTTGCTTCTTAAGCATTAGTTTCATCTGCGTTTACTTTCGAGTTTTTGGTTCACTGACGCATTGGGCGTCTTTCTAAGTCTTGAGGAGGTTTTTTGTTAGGATACGCCTATACATTCGATAATTTCAGACTTTAAAGAAGGCGATACCGCCGAAATGTTAATCGAATAGAAGTTATACCAATCTCGGTGTCCAGCAGAGCAAACCACACTCATCTACAACATAACAAATTAAGGATAGACAAACTTGATGTCAGCACTTTGAGTTAGGACATACAATCATTAGCTGTTTCGAGACCGGAAACACGTCTAATTCACTTCGTTGCAATAAACGCAACTTTTCTGGTTACCATTCGAATACAACTCTTTTTGCTTTATTTATTCGTATGCAGTTTACCTAACTTTTATACGTCTTCGAACCATGAGGGTTAAGACATGATTTTTGGCCTTTCGGTGCGTCAAAAAATCGCAGATGTTCAAGTTTTTTACCTTCAAAACAAAAAACAAAGAAACAAAGAGAACAAAGTAAACTAATGCTCGATATACCATTCAAGCTTGAGCTTTTTAGGATGTTATGTCATTTGCGTCATGACTCTACCCTATAGGAGCTCAAACTGAAAGATGTTCAAAAAAATCGGGTGCGTGGCGTTAGGTACCCAGTCGAGGTGCGGGCGTTAGGTACCCAGCCATAAGCGGTATACACTTAGCCACGCCCCTCAGTTGCTTTAACAGCGGGTACCTAACGATACACCAAATCCTAGCTGCTAGAACAGCTCACCTAGCTCGCTGAAGCACTGGCGCTCGCGACCCAGAGAAAAACGATAGTTCGAGAAGATCAAAAAAATTGCGCGAATAAAAGCACAAGTTTACAATGCTTTTTCAACGCTTTTTTTTCAAATTCATTTCAGAACCACAGAAAATCGGTGCTGAAAATTAAAAACAGGGTAAACTTTTTATGAGCACCATGATTTTGCAAAAAAAATCGTGATGATCTGAACTGGTAATGTTAGCGGAAATTTCATAAAAGTGAACTTTGTAGGATAGCAATAAATCAAAATTTTATAATTTTAATGAAACAAAGCGCACTTTCGGATGCGCTTCTGGCAAATAAGTTGCACGAAATATCCCCTTCACTTGTCGTCAGGCTCGTTTTGAGGCGTGAAGTCAAGGGTTGTAGAACTTGCGTTAATATTACCACAGGGATTGTGCTACATTATCGTAGATTATCAAGACTATCACTTCGGTCATAGTTAAGGCCAACAGATTTATGGGACATTACATTGATAAGCATACATTTTTCTTTATTTCGGAAGATTTCACATCCCGTATGAAAATTCCGCTGAGCTACTGTATTTTATCATACCTATGCTCTCTGCAGTGCTTCTCTGAAGGACCTTCATATTGCAATTGTTTCATATTCATTTCCTTTTCTAGCAGCCAAAATATGATCAGTTTATCCAACCAAAGCTATAAATTTTTTGTAACTTACTAAAAAGCGGTAAGTTTTGTCAATAATTGTTCTCAGTAGAGTTGCCGCTTTTTCCTGTTTCATTCTATAGCACACACTCATCCGAAATTGGCTACCTCTGTAACTGTAATGTAAAATTTTCATTGATTGGAACAGAGCCCTTCCCATGTTAATGGATGACACAGTCCTCCGTAAAATTCCAATTTCTGATGACAAGCTCTCGTTGAAGCTCTTCTTGCAATCGGTTCCACTTCTCATTATTAAAAATGTCTTTTTTCGAAACAAAAGAATACTCCGTGCAACTTATTTGCCAGGAGCGCATCCTAAGTGCGCTTTGCTTCAGTAAAATCATAAATTGATTTATTGGTATTCTACAAAGTTTACCTTTATGAAATCCCGCTGACATTTGCGGCTCAGATCATCAAGATTTTTTTGCAAAACTTTGTGAAGTGCTCATAAAAATACCCTGTTCCGATTTCCAGCACCTAGTTTCTGTGATTATAAATTGGATTGGAAAAAAAGCAATAGAAAAAGCGTTGTGAACTTGCGCTTTCACTCGTTTTTTTGTTGATTTTCTTGAACTATCGTTCTCTGGGTCGCGAGCGCCAGCGCTTTAGCGAGCTATGTGAGCTGCTCTAGCAGCTAGGATTTGGTGTATCGTTAGGTACCCGCTGTTGAAGCAACCAAGGGGCGTGGCTTAGTGTTTACCACTAATGGCTGGGTACCTAACGCCCGCACCTCGGCTGGGTACCTAACGCCCGCCCCCCAAAAAAATCTTATTTGATGTTTTCGGCGCGCCATGCCAAGGGTTGTGAGAGAGGAGCGGTAGCGCATTACCAAAATGATAGGCTAAAGTCGCTTATGTAAGTGAAGTTTTGGTTGCCGCCTGCTTATGATCGAAAATCTCGAAATGTAGAAAAAATTAAGCTGTCCATGATGCGCAGCATCTCGGTCCTCCTACTCTTGCGGGTGGCTTCAAGAGCACAGATTGGATAGAAGAGCGGAGCTCGATGATGCATTTTGTACGATGAGTTCAGAATGTGTCAAGCTGTTTACAAGTGCAACTCTGTTGAAGTGATCCCGCACATGGGATCAACAGTGATGGTCTCATGTTTCATGATCTTGTCGCCGCAACTGGCGCTCAACTAAGTATGGACACGGTCACATTTTACAGTCATTTGCATAATACAAGTCTTTTTCACAAAATGTTGCTTTCAAATTAAAGACAATTACTGGTTCGTGTCAGCCTCGCCCTATTGAACGAAATATCTTTGAAAAAGGTCTGTATCTGCAACATCTGCAAAAAATAACAACCTTCGGTTTATCTGTAAACGCAGGACTCCGATTGAGCAAAACGGCGCCAAATACTCTTCAAAATTTTACCGTAAACCCTTCAGATCTTAGACACAGTTTGTTATGGTGCATCTATGTATTCATGCTTAAAAACAAGACTAAAGATTATTGACAACAAGACCCAAATGAAGAAAACGGAATTTGGAAATTGATCATCAAGATTATTGTTCTTATGCTCTCAGCAACGTTCTACCTATTTGTTGAAGTCGGCTTTGTGACATATACACAATAGCCAACAAACGATCTTTCGAAAAAGTGTAACGTATCTTTGCTTCAGCTCAGCAATGAGTTCACAAAGTGGGAATCAGGATTTCCGGACTTCAAAGGAAACAATGGCTGCGTTTTAAATGTGCAATCAGAAAACCTGTCATCGGTAGGCACCGGAAATCGCATACGATTTGGGTTCAAATTATAGTAACATCTTCCATACACCAATACTTACGTTTCAGCTAAAGTGGCAAAATGTGGATTGCACACATGTGTCGAAGAAATATATATGCCAAACGAACACTTGCGACACGGATAACTATTGCTCGGATTCTGACTGATTCGTTTTTTATATATGAAATAAACACGGATTTTGAGGCAACTCTTCGAAATGATCTATATAGACTATAATATGTATTATTCATGTGGAAATGTTAAGAGTTTGATCATCACTTGATCCACTGTGTAGTTCTCCAATCATGGGAAAGAAAGCTTAAAAGCTTTCTATGCGTCGCTAAAGTCCACTATAAGAGCATTTAGGAGTGTCGCAGCTGCGATAGTTGTAAATACCGTTTATTCGTTCATCATAATCGTTTAATATTCGTTTTGCCTTATATTATAAATGTTAGTGGTTAGAAGAATACACCACGAGGATCAGCCAAACAAGTCATCGCAGCCTCACCCCATCACCTTATCACTTTTGTCTTCAGCCAACAACGACTTTGCAAACAAGTTTCCGGCTCACTAAGAGGACTCTCTCTACAAGTCTTCTGCGAGAGGATTGTATCCAACAAGCACTTTGGACCCGGAACTACAAGTCCCCTGTATACCAAGAAGTCTCGAAGGATCAATCCACAGTATCATGAGAAGATTTCGAGGATTAGCAGGATCTGGGGAACACATCACATTCACAGTATCTACATTATTGCCTTTTGTAGCTATACTGGAATAAAGCTTGACCGCTCAAGTCTCAGGTCCCGCATAGACTCTCGTGGCAACCCCAAATTAGCCTCACTAGCAATCTCTTTGCTACACTATGCTTGATGCGAATGGCGTAGAGGCAAGAAGTGCGTCTCACTATCGTTTGAAGATGCGACTACCAGTCGAACTGAAGAATGATTGAAAATTGAGGGATTTGATGAAAGCGCCTGTACTCTTGCATTACGAAGGTTATGGTCATATCATAAAAGCATAAAAAATTATTCTTTGAGGCAATTAACTCAAAATTCATATTATGGATTTCTTTTCTTGTAACTTGGACGTTTTGGTGTATGATCCTGATTGTCATCTGTGCCGTACAGTTAAATGCTACACTCTAATGTTGCCTGACATTCCCCTTACACAGCATCCAAAAATCCGGAAAAGTGTCACTCGCTTTTGATATAGCGTTCCTGCCGTTGTAATCAGTCTCTGGAATGGCTGAAAATAAAGTTTTTCATAGTTTGCACAAAGCGAGATGCACTAGTATCTCACTCGTAATAAGTAGCTGTTTACTTTTGCCGTTTTTCGGAGTACGAGCTAGCATGTAGGGCTCTCGTATAGACTTTCAAGCGAAAATTGCTCTAAACTTCAGAATCTTGTCACAATTTTTAATCCATTTTCATCATATACTCTAACATCTTATCGATCCACTATAATTACGCTTGCGCATTCTTGCGTAATGTTAGGTCATTCGGAATTTTTCGCTTTTAGCGCCTCAGAAGTTAGTGCGAAATTTTATGAGTGTGCCAGAAGGCTGATAGGTAGGGGTTGCTATATATGTAATTTGTAGAGAAAGTCTTCTACAAATTCCATATATGGCAGTCCTCTAGTTTTCAAAGATCCCGCCGAAGTTCCAGAGAATGCTTTGTGTGGAGGTTTAGGTAGCTTTAGATTCGACATATAAAACGCGATTTCAAAGAATTGCATTCTCCAAGCTCAGTCTTGAATGTAAGGCAGTCAAGGAAACCATCATGTGCACAATGCGTTTTAAGGCCACGTCTTTCTTGACATTAATTGCTTCATAAAGTCCAGATTTAGAGAAGTGAAAGCTAATGTTTTGCAGTTTTTCGGCTGTTCCAGCCATATAAACGAGCATCCCAAAGGGTCCTCTAAAGTAAAGCAATCATAGCTGCATAAAATTATGAGCAGGTCTTGAAGTGTCATATAGCCCCATTGAAAACCACCATTGCTAAAGCTGCAATACCGAAAAACATCAGTGGCATACACCTCACAAATTGTCGACCCGCTGATTGAAGACGTGTTGACTCTGCTTTCGTTGTTCATAATTTGACGGAGCGTGTGTTTTTGGCCCGAGTTCATAATTACAATACCGCTCATAATTCGTCAAAAAAGTCGCCGGACTGCGGCGCACTCCGCCACATCCGCCGCAGTGCGCCGGAGTGTGGCAGACTGCGCCGGAGTGCGGCAGAGTGCGCCACACTCCGCCGCAGTGCGCCGGAATGATCGTCAATTTAGCCATATCTCGCTTCAGAATGGACTAATTCTGAATCCGAGGACACCGTTCGATTCAGCTCGGCGAGACGCATCATCTTATATGGCTGAACGTCTGTTTGTCTGTACGTATGTTCCGAATAGAAAATTCCATTTCTGAACCGATCCGGACCAAACTTGGCACACATGCACTTCGGGCCCCGGCGGGTGTCATAGGCTACTTTTCGTATCGATCGATATCGATTTTATCGATTTTTATCGATTTTTTGCAGAGTTTACCTACGGGGCTGGGAGTTGGCACAGGGGGAGGGTAAGTGAGCATGGGAATTCCGAATACAATATTAGTTTTCAGAATTATCGATTATCATTTTGGTTAAATCCAGTGTGCTGATAAGAGTATTACCATTGATCTGTCGCTGATGACACATAGACGGTATACTATAGGAGTATGGTAGAGAGCCACTCCGATCGAATTAATTTGTTCTAAGATCTGCTCAAGATCACAATACCGCCCACAGAATGTCAAAATTTCCGTGAACTTCGCGAATTCCGGGATTTCCGCCAGAGTGCGCGATAATCCGGGAAGTTCGCGACATTTCAGGATCCGCGAAACCATGCGGATCACGCAGAATACGCAACGTCATAACTTCCTTATTATAACATATTCCGAATCCAGAAGCAGCATTGTGTTCAGATCGTCGAGGCAAATATTTCGATATACAGGGTGTCCCAAAAAGATGTGCACACTGTTTGATTGTAAATAACTCTTTTGTGGTGAAGTGTTTCGAGAAGCTTTAGGTACCATTTTGTAGAGCGAGGTTCAACTTAGATTGACAGTGTAGAGCGGATCGTCGCTCTCATTCTTACTGCAGGATTACGGTAGAAACTTTGAAGAGGGTTTTGAGCCATGAAAAGCCATATTTTGTTCCAAAAAGAAACCAAAACAACCTGAAAACTCTCACACTGGGCTAACTAGAGTTGCTGATTCTAAATGTGAAGTTCGCAACTCTTCCTAATGCTTCATTAAAAAATTATGCGAGGTAAGCAGTAGTAGATGTTTTTTAAGTGTTCCTAAAAAGTGCTGTTGCTCTCGATATTCCATTTCCAGTCTTTTCGAATTTTTTTCTGTGGAGGTCCTTTCGCAGGGATGTAACGCAGCGTCTGTGTAACATAAAAGATTCCAGTAAGCACTGTTCGATAGCACTGTCCTTGTAGGTATCTCTAGCTACAGGACTGTCTTCCAAAAGAGATAGAAGCATTGTGAATTTTGAAAAAATCACGCGTTTCTAAATTCTACTCGCCGTAACTTCCTTCGGAATGAACATATTCGAATCCGAAGAAAGCTTTATGCTCAGTTTATCAAGGCAAGTCTTTCGATATACAGCATATCCTTGATATTCCGATTTCAATATTCTCAAATCTTTCTGTAGACGTCTTTTCGCGAAGGTGTAAAGCAGCGCGCATTGCCCCTAGTAAACTCCAGGAAGGACCTTTCGATAGTACTTTTTCTGAAGATTACGTAGCGCTCAAAAGTAGTCACAGGCATCTTTCCAATGGAGGTAGAAAGGCTGGTAAATCGTAAAAAAAATCTTGTTGTCCCAAATTCTACTCGTCGCAGCCCTAGAATACGAGGCTATCTTGCTAAGCAGATGTGAGTTTTGTAATCACCAGGCCGGATAACCCTTATGAACAAATTTTCCGAGATGTTCGGGTGATTTCACTTTTTCTTGTCTGATGCTCTGAAGCTGGCCGGTGGATTTTGGTCAAAATGTTGATGATCTTCAATTGTAAAGAAACTCCGCTCATAGAGGTCTTCGGACACGCTCTTTACGAAAATCACGGTCTTTGAGGATTACAGGGTCTTTTTGCAGAGATATGGTGAGATGACCGCAACGGATTCACGAAAGCTCGTAACTTCGCCTCCACCTCTCACGTATCTGTCAAAAAACCTGCCTGCTTGCTTTTTTAGTCAAAGTTGCTAGGAGATGTGCTATCGAATGGCGCATGACTCAGGCTCCATTCTATAAAATTCCCGAGTTACGAGCCTACGAAAACACGTTCTCATGAATTTTGCCCAAAATGTAAAAATCGCTAATTTCGTCGAAATTCCACCATGAGTGCTTGTACAACACGCTGATCAAATCTTTTCTCATTCTTAATGGATCTTATTGTGTTAGATTTGGTGGCTTGAGCTCTAGCCACAAAACAGCTATGATATTCAATTGCTGAAGCACACGCAAGCACCATATTCAATACAGTGGAGTCATTGAGCGAAGCGAACATAATATCTGCAATGCAGGTTTCATACAAGTACACAAGGTGATGCCTGAAAGAAAAAAAGATGAAGGATGCCTGTGACTACTTTTTAGCGCTACGTAATCTTCAGAAAAAGTACTATCGAAAGGTCCTTGCTGGAGTCTACTAGGGGCAATGCGCGCTGCTTTACACCTTCGCGAAAAGACGTCTACAGAAAGATTTGAGAATATTGAAATCGGAATATCAAGGATATGCTGTATATCGAAAGACTTGGCGTTGCGTATTCTGCGTAATTCGCATGGTTTCGCGGATCCTGAAATGTCGCGAACTTCCCGGATTATCGCGCACTCTGGCGGAAATCCCGGAATTCCGCGAAGTTCACGAAAATTTTGACATTCTGTGGGCGGTATTGTGATCTTGAGCAGATCTTAGAACAAATTAATTCGATCGGAGTGGCTCTCTATCATACTCCTGTAATATACTGTCTATGTGTCATCAGCGACAGATCAATGGTAATACTGTTATAAGCACACTGGATTTAACCAAAATGATAATCGATAATTCTGAAAACTAATATTGTATTCGGAATCTCCATGCTCACTTACCCTCCCCCTGTGCCAACTCCCAGCCCCGTAGGTAAACTCTTCAAAAAAATC